ATAAAAAATTTATTTTTTTAATATAAAAATCTATTTATTATATTTAAAATAATATTAAAAATACAAAACGCATTATGACGCATATTCTCCGCATTGACACGCTTAAACTTGTGATTCTTGATTCTCGACCTCGACGCATCGCAACGCATTACGCATTTTAGAACACTGTCCAAAGCTATCAAAAAATTAAATGCGAGTTCACATAGTTGACACAAAGACCCTTGGCTATTTTTTTACCTTAACACCATCTATTCCTATACCTTAACACCCTTGCTGAGATTACACTGTGAGGGCACTTGAACATTTTTTATTTTTTAGTTATAGTTGAAACATGACCTGTAAGAAATTCTAATGGCTCTAAAAAAATAAAAATAAAATAAACGTCCGGTGCTGTCTCCGTGCAGCTCGGAGACATGCTATCTCCGTGTGCGCATGGAGACATGGTGGCTCTCCGTGTGGAATCCTTAAGTGTCTCCGTGCGTACACGGAGACCTATCTCCGTGTGGAATCCTTAGGTACAAAATTGAGGCATAGTTCCGCAGAAACAAGTAAAGGAAAGAAATAATTAGAGAAGAAAAAACTGAACGGATATCTAACTATTAAAAATATATAGTGACGCATCGGGAAGACTTCAATCTTATTTTCCTCTAAAAATGCAAGCTCTATCTAAACTTTGTGTTATAACAAAGTATACTCAGTTAACCAGTTAAAGTAGGCATAAGTGAGAACATAACAACAACAATTCAAAAAATAATGGCAAAAAGGCCAATCACACCAAATAGGAAATAAGAAAGAAGCTAAGTAAAATGCATGAGCAATAAAGTAGAAACTAAAAGATACCCTTAAAGAATGCCGATAAGTTAGAAAATGCCTCGAGTTCGGGTAACTTTTGCCATCTCTATCTTTTTCTCATCTCGGCTGACACCCCTAATTTGAATATCCTAAGAAAAGAAGTGGGAAATAATATATGAGTCTCCTTTTTCTTTTATGACTAATAGCTATTACTTACAAGAAGAATATCAAAATCAGTATAATAGGGGTGAATATGCAGGTAAAAATATATATTGTACGAGAGAATCTCAAGCCTACATGTTGATCCGTGTCAAAATCAAGTTCTGGTGCTCCTTGGTCATCATCCCACAAATTGTATATTATAATGCGTGTTCCTTGATCTTTCAAGGAGTTAAACTACAAGAAAACAATAGCAAGAATCATAATCAATTAGAAGATATGCT